TTTGTCTTTGTCTTTGTCTTTGTCTTGTTCGCGGTGGTAGAGAGTGACGCAGCGCTCGGGGGAGGTGCTGAGGGGGGCCCCCAGGGGGCCCCCCTGCGCTGCGGAGGGGTGCTTGCTGGGGCCCTGGGCTGCAGGGGAAGGCAGCAGACGGCCTGGCTGGTGCTGGTGTCTGCTGGGCTTGTTCTTGGTGCGCGAAATCCCCGCCCCCATCTTGTTGCTGCTGCTGCTGCTGCTGCTCGGGAAGGCTCTGCAGCTGACGCCCTACAGCAGCAGCAGCAGCATGCTCGGGACTGCCCAGCCCCAGACCTCTCACAGCAGCAGCGCCGCCGCAGCTATGCCATTGCAGCAGCCGCGGTGCAGCAGCGCCACAGAAACGCTAGAAAGCTAGTGAGTTCAAGAACAGCCAGCAGCAGCGGGAGGCGAGCGGGCAAGACAAGGAGAGCCGAGCCTCAAGGCTGGAGCGAGGGGAAGCAGCAGCTCAAGAACAGACTGGAGGGGAAATGCGATTTAACTTCATAGAAGGACGAATGACCTGTTGCTGCTGCTGCTGCTGCTGCTGCGCGGCCAGCCTATGCCAGAGGGAGCCAGCTCGCGAGCCGCATGGTTTCCCTGCTTGCAAAAAAAGATATATAAATGATTAAATACGATTCAATTGGAATTTCGCAACCATAAATGGGCTTTATCTTAGTAACGGGCGGCACAACTGGTGGCTGCGGACCGACGAAGCTCAAGGTGACGCCCTGGTACAACTTTACCGAAGCCACAAACTTCCCTTGTTGCAGCTGCTCTCCTGTGCTTTCCCTAAATAGCCACTTATAAAGCATATTAATCCGCCTAGTGTCGGCAAAGAAAGCCACAAAATAGTTTAAACGAGCGCGCCAGGTCTGCAGATCACCAACGGCTGTTAAGTGAATAGCCACGGTGGGGCGGTTACGCCCACGCAACTCAAATTTCCCAGTTTCGCAGCCTAGTGAGATTAAATAAATGAATTAAAACATGTTAATATAATTGTCACTTAGCTTTCGTGCTGCATTGCAGTGCGCACAGCAGGTGCCGCAGTCCACATGCAACAGCTGCAAGAAGTTGAACACATTGACCATCGATCCAAATGGACAATAGGACAGAAACTCCCTAAATGCAGCAATTCAGAGTGTGGAAACGGATTCAGGCACACTAATTGCATCTAGACATTCCAAGTTAGCTAAAACACGCCGCATGCACAACAAGTCTTAAGAGTGTGAGGAGGAATGTACTGCATAATGAACACGAAGTGAAAGCGACTAGCGACAGAAAGAAATGAAATGTGCAAACTCCAGTCGGATTCCGACCCAAAAGACAACAGTTCCCTGTTGTTCTTTGCTCGATATCCTCATGTGCTCGAAGTCGTTTCATTGTAAATGTCTTTAAGCCTTTAAAACTCCATTCACCATAAGCATTCTTCCTCGCAAAAGCAAGATAAATGGGCTCCGTATGTAATCATGTCTTGATAGTTGAATCGTGCCTGCAGTTTGGCTTCACAGCGCTACTGCGAAGCGCATGTCTAGGGCGCCTAGCCTTTGCAAAGAAAGAGGTTTTCATCTATAAATGATTTAGGGGAATAAACCCAAAGGCAAAACAGGGGAATTTTACTGGCACTTGTTCAAGTTTAAGTGCCGGTTACAGTGCAGAGCTTCGGCCTCCAATAAGGCAAAGTACAGTATTAAAAGAGATATGAACATGAGATAAAGGCTGCTAAGGAGCAGAACTTGAATCAAATCTTTTGAAAGGCAAATTAGTCATTTCAATTCTTCTATGGCTGGGCAGAAGACAGCGGTCAAGGGGTCTCAGTGCCGGCGGCGCCTTCCGTCCCACTGCAGCTGCCTTCGGAAACTGTAGTTTTAGAGGGCTATTTAACACTACTCAAAAGCAAGAAGCCGTTAAAACTGCTTCCAATTTGCAAATAGGGAAGTTTTAACTTGGTGCTGCGCTGCAGCAAAAGCCTTTTAACTGTTCACAGATAATCATGAAACCCGTCACTCTGCCTTTTCCCACAAAGGCTGAAGAGGCAGACACGGCTGAAGGCAGCAAGAGGCTTGCGAGGCTCTCGCCGCAGTTGCTGCACACCCTCTGCCTGCAGTTGTCATTGCAGCAAACCGCTCTTGCTGCTAGTTGGTTCCGAATTTTTTTAGAAAAGCGGAAGACTCTCTGACAGGACTTCTCCTCAAACTACTTTTAGAGAAGACGCGGGAGAAAATCGCATTCGTTTCGCTAAATACCGCGAGCTTCAGCTGCGAACTTCCCTTTCCGTTCTTGTGATCTTGCAGCCAACTAACTGCATGCAGCCTTTGCAATGCAGCGAAGGAAAGCTGCCTGCGGCGAGGCAAGAAAGGCTGAGGCGAAAAGCCCTTCTTCGCCACCGTTGGTTAGAAGACAAGTTCATCAAATGCAGTAAACGCAGGCGTGCCAGGTCTTGGCCGCTTCCTTCTGTTTCGCCTCAAGATGTCTTCTTACACTTGTGATATCTACGAAGAAAAGGAATCTGCAGATGCACTTCTAAAGTAATGGATATTTCTAGGTGGCACACCCTCAGCTCTACTTGAAAGACCTGAAAAGACAAATAGGGAGCTCGTTTTTCTTTTGCGCAAATATTAAAAACGCATTACCGAGCGGCCAGCAAAGAACCCGCATGGTAAGATGCAGGCTGAGCTGAGGGGCCCTCGCCGCCTCTTCTGTTGGGTTTGCTACTGAAACAATATAGTTGCAGGTGCAAGCAAGCCAGTCGTTGTTGGCAGTAGAGATAGCAGCAGCAGCAGCAGCAGCGGCGGTTGCGGCTTTTGTGGTCCTTGGTGATGTTGCATCAGGAGTGGCTTTGCTGCTGTTGCAGCAGAAGGCCCTGACTCTCTCTCTGCCTCTCTCCCCTTAGTCCAGAGCGTGTAAAGCAGTTCCAAATGCGTGCAAAGCCAGGCTGATGCTGCGCTGTTCAGGCGTTTAAGGAGCCTCCCTTGAGGGCGGAGCTCGTCGAGCTGCAGACGCCCAGAGCGACAGGTTCTGTGGAAGTTCTGAAATACAGCAACTGATGATTTCCGAAATGTAGCAACTGGTGAGGCCGGGAGGCCCCCGAGGGCTCACTCTAAACAGCAAGCTGAGGCAAGGGGGCCACTGTGCCCGAGTGCGCAATGGGCCCCACCCTAAAGCTGGCAGGCCAATGCCAGTGCACATTAGGACTGAGGAAAGTAGCCTAGAGCCTCGGCAAAAGGTAAATTGGTTTTTCTGAGTACTAGAACATTACACGCTGGGTCACCATAAGAACTGCAGTCTAATTTCGCGAGCATCAGAGAGCTGTGGTTTAATTGCCACTTGGTGCCTCCATCCTCGGCGGATGATCGAGCTTGATTTAGACTTATCTGTGAAGAAAGAATAAGACAATAAATTTGATTTCGCATTTAAAAAAGGAAATGGAGAGCTCTACAGGAATTTTGGGATTCCGCAACTTCGCGATGGGGGAACCCCCCACTTCAGCAGGCCTACCCGTTAATCTGAATATTCAGAATCTTTTCACGTTACTTGGGTTGGTACGCCAGCCTACACTTTTGCATGCTTACAAGCCTATGTGTTTCCTGCTGGAGACCGTTGAACTCAATTACTGTGAGAGTGCCTACCAAAATGTAGTTAACTGCGGAAGCCGAAGTAATTATAGTAGCAGCCCCATGGATAAGCTAGGGAGCTCTGAACTATAAAACTGTGGGTGCGCCTGCCTTTTGTAATGCTTTGTACTAATTTAGATGCGCAAAAAACTGAACTGCAGCACCACGGGCTCCACAGAAACGCGTGCACCCACACGACTGCGAGTCGTTTCCTCTTGTTTTGTGCGTGGGGCCCATTGTGACCGGCCAACTTGTAGTGTTTCAGTATAAAGACGAACAGCGAAACAATATAACCGAGAGGAAGGGCTGAAAATCAGTGCCCCCACAGGAAGCACGAATAGGTGAACTGCCACAGATGGCAGAGTGTTCCTTTTCGCTCATCGCAGGAAAAGGGCAATCCCAAATACACGCAGAAAAGCAATGTATTTACGTAGGAGTCATACAGACTAGAATAACAACGCAGTTTTAGCGGATAAGCGGTCCCGGCTGTTCCAGCCGCCCCTCACACAAGAGCTGCGATCGTGTGAGCGTCGAATAAGTTTGGCAGCCTGAACCAAGATAAACCTAACGTCTTCTCATCAAGAATTCAAAATGAATACGATTCAGCTTGATAGGTGAGGCAAAACATGCAGACACAGAGCCCCCTCAGCTCTACTGCCCAAGTGTAGCTGCGAGCGTTCTTCCACTGGTCCATAAGCGAACGCCTTCCACAACAAAAGTAAATTGGTGTTGAGGCTCACGAATTTGCGAAGCCCTTAAGAATTTCACTCGAAGTCAATTCCTTTTCTTTGATTTCCTCCCACAACTCCCTGCTTCACGGTTTCTTCGCCCGTTTTTTTTCTACTGTGCGGGGCTCCCGTGGACAAGTCTTGTTGGGCGTAAATGCAATTAATTCATCTTCGTTCGGGTCGGTTTTATTCTCTTTCTCTTTCAGCAATGTGCTCTTCAATATTACTACTCTCCGCATGGCTCGCCGCCCGAGTTGTGGCGGCAGACATGATGGCCCCACCATACGATGCTCCGCTTTCTTT